TATACCGATTTGAAGAGCTGGATTATATAGTTCAATAAGATTCATAATTCTACTCAAGTGTTTGGTGACCTAAAAACAATATGGATTGGATAATGTCTAATCCTACTAGGCTTAAATGTAGTAGGATTATGAATTCTACCATAGGGTTGATTGGATTATGTGTAATTCTACTAGGCCGTGTAATAGTACATTTCAATTAATCTAACTGCTTAATCATGTGTAGTACCAAATACATCATGTGATATAGTGTTATTCTCTCCAATCCAATATAATCCAATGCAAATCTAATTCTATCACATAATCCAATCCAGTTCAAATCATCAAACATGTTTTGTGTATATATGTATTTAAGATGCAATTACCTTTTGAGATATTTAGTCATATACCCATTTTTAGCACTAATAATATAGATAAACCCTACATCATTTAATTTCTATAAACAAACCCAAAAAAACCCAAAAAATGACAGCTGGCTGAATATAATTTTGATTATTAAATTACTTTGATACCCTATTGAGTATTTTGGGTTTTTTTTTATGAGGTTTTGAGGTTGGACTTGTTTTAAGAAATTGATGGCAGTTTTGTAATTTATAAGAGGTTAAAAGCCTCTTTGTTATGTTGTAAATGAGTTTTGGGTGTGTTTCTAAAGTCCATTTTCATATAGGGTATTTTTATAATTTAGGCCCCTATATTGGGTATAATAGTAAATCTCCCTTATCTTTTCTTAATATGGAAGCCCATTTTTAGCACTAATAATATAGATAAACCCTACATCATTTAATTTCTATAAACAAACCCAAAAAAACCCAAAAAATGACCGCTGGCCCTATTGAATATAATTTTGATTATTAAATTACTTTGATACCCTATTGAGTATTTTGGGTTTTTTTATGAGGTTTTGAGGTTGGACTTGTTTTAAGAAATTGATGGCAGTTTTGTAATTTATAAGAAGTTAAAAGCCTCTTTGTTATGTTGTAAATGAGTTTTGGTTGTGTTTCTAAAGTCCATTTCATATAGGGTATTTTTATAATTTAGGCCCCTATATTGGGTATAATAGTAAATCTCCCTTATCTTTTCTTAATATGGAATATTATAATTTTCTGAGAAGAATTGCCGGCAATGATTGTGATGGGCTCCGTTGCCTACTACTTGAACACGCTTTTATCTTTCAAGACTTTTGCAGGCTCTACTTGAACACGCTTATATTCATAATTTCATTAATTAATTGTGGGTGCTTTGCCCCTTCTACTATTCCTCTATTATCTTTAGTAAACTAATAAGTTCTGTTCAAGTTGGAAGAAGGAAGGACCATATTTCCATCATTTCATCATCTTCTCTAGTCGAATCGAAACTACAGACTCAGCCAGAACACACAGTTGGTATGCCTTTTCAATTATTTTCTTCTAATTAATTGTTTCATTTTTGAGTTTATTACCTAGGTCGATTTTCCTTGTTCTTTTTTGTTATTTTTATTCTGTGTTTTATTACTTAGGGTTTCGGTGTACTTCGTACAAATTTAGGGCTTCGGTGGTCACTGAAAATTTTTAGGGTTTGGGGATTAGAAGCACAGCATCTAAAGAGAGGGTGAGAGAACAATACTAACATTTGCCAGATTCGCATTTCGAGTAGATTCTTTTAGATTACATATGTGGTTCGAAGTTATAGACCTGTTTTGTTTTGGCTGAGTTGTAATTACAGTTGGTAAGCCTTTCCAATTTTTCTTTCATTTTTTTAAAAAAAATTTCTGCTTTATTATGGGTTCCACCTTATCAAATTAGGGGCTTGGTGTACAATGAACAAATTTAGGGCTTGGGTCTTCATTGAATAAATTTAGTGTTGGGTATTTAGAAACAGATCATCCAAAAGAGAGGGTGAGAGAACAAGATTTTGTAAAAAAATTGCTTGAAGATGTCAATTTTATTCTTGTTAATTAATTAATTTGTAAGTAAAATTTTGTCTCGGTTTGATAATTCTTCAAATTTGGAAGATTTCCGCTCAGTTACTCATGGTTTTTATTTTTTATTTTTGAATGATTGGTTTGTCCATGAATTTGTTAGTCCAAGTCAAGAGAACAAGATATAAGACTTCTGTTGGTCCTTGTTGAATCTGATTCCTGCTTTGTAGGATTTTTGTAATCCGAATATCGTTTCTGATCTTTTAAAATTTAAATAGAATTATGATTAAAATTTATCTTGTTTGTGTACCTGTTGCCTATTAAAGCTCCAGCCAGTAATGGAAGGATACAGTGCCACAAATGATATAAGAGGCCTCGATGGCGCAGCTGATTTTGGGATTATTGAGTCTCCCAACTCAGACGATGTCAACTGGAGCAACGCGGCCCAAGGCCAAGGTGGTGAAAGAGGAAAGAAACCCCAAGGTGAAGGTCACAAGATTTATAACAAAACAATTACCGCACTAAATGGAGAGTCATATGTTGGGAGTTTCGGCTTTCACAACTTAGTTGTCGACTTCAGCAATGGCGGCCAAGGGCAAGGTAGCCGTGAGTCCGAAGATAACTGTCACAACATTCGTCATAATAAAATTACTGCAGATAATAGATCCACAAAAGTTGGGTTTGAAAACTTTGGCAACGTCAACTACAACTGCAAGACTACTAGTACTAAAGATCACGGCAAAGCAGCAGGGGGCAAAGCAGTAGGGGGCTCGAGCAGGAGCCAAGCCAATATTCTCAAAAATAATATTACAGCACGCAATGGATCCTCAAATGTTGGGATGTTCAACTTTCACAACGTCTACATCAATGGCGACCAAGGTCAAGGTGGCTTCTTGAAACACAAAGGTATCAGTCACAACATTAAGGAAAATACTATTATAGCAGTTAATTCCCGAAGAGTTGGGATACAAGACTTTGGCAGCATCAAATACAACTGCGGGAGTATTATAAGTAGATTCTTGCATTTTTTCGGCATATGATATTAATTCCAGAATTTCTTTAGCCATGTGTGGATATACCATATGAGAATTTGATGTTGCCATTGGACTCCTCCGCATTTGTATAAATTCTTTGTAGTTATTGTAAAACCTATTAGACGGCGTACATGAGTAAAACTTTCTATTCTCCACCACAGGTCTCATTGTATATTGTGTTTTTGACATGCTGCGGATGTGATTTTGTCCGGCAGTTTTAATTACTTTGTATACAATGAATATTTGGGATCAGTCACCAAAGAATAATCGGAATATTAGGGATTCTGAAAAACACAATGGACTTTCATGTTCAGATCCTTCACATCGTGCTCATGCATGTTTTAATTAAGATTTTTTACATTGCATGTAAATATATAAAATAGAATTGCATTAAAAGCATTGAAAATATAATTATAAATTCACAAGAAGAATATTCTCTAGGTTAATTAATTGAGCCCATTTATTTGGCCAATTAATTAATACTAAAAATAGGGATAATATCTTAAATATGGGAGATAATACCACCAATTTAGATATGGGTGCTTTCATTTTAAGACACTATATAGTTTACTAATTTGGAATATATGAATACAATTTCACCTAATTAGCATTAGGGGTGGGCATCGAGACTGAAAAACCGGAACACCAAACCAGACCAAATAGAAAAAACCGGAAAAAAAAACCGGTTAACTAAAAAAGTCAACAAACTGGCATCAAACCGGATCGAAAGCGAGTGAAAACCGAAAGGAACTGCTCCTTTCACACGATGAGGCCGATTTGGGTTGCTTATTTATTTATTATTTATTTTATCTCCTTTCACAAGATAATAGGACCGAGTTTTGTGGGTTGTTGTTTAGTTTTGGTTTTTATTATATTGTGCATTTACTAAAATACCCATCTAAAGTATGAACAACAAAATTTGCTGAGCCGTTGGTTTTTTTGTTTCAGAGGTGTTTCTGTCCAATTTTTTTTGGTGAAGCCTATGACGCCAACTACTTTGCACCTCCCTTTATAATAGTAGAGATAAACAACTAAAACACGAACCCCATCAAATTTCTATTGTTATCTTGAAGTGCAATTATTAAACAGGTTCACACCCACATGAGCAAAAGACTTTTACTCACTTCTATTCTTTATTCAATACCACCTTCCCCGCCCTCTCATATTTTACTAGCCGACCACATCACCTACTCTCATCCATAGTCTGAAATATCGATAATATCGACGAAATATCGAGGATATTTCAGTTTTTTTCGAATCACGGATATTTCGGAACATATCAATATACATATCGTATAAATATCAACAATATCGACGATAATATTGGAAAATATCGATGTCGATAATTTCGCTCACATTTCAGCAATATTTTGTCAAAATATCGGTGTAATATCGCTAAAATATCGAAAATATTGAAAATTCGCTAAAATATCGAAAATATCGATGCAAAGAAAAAAAAAAGGAAAAAAAAGAGAAAAAAAAAGGGGGAAAAAAGGGAGAAAAAAAACACAAAGGGGATTTGAACCCCTCCCATTTTACTCCTCCAATACCTTAACCACTATATTACTTATGTTTTTGTGATAATATGCTAAATTATTTATATTTATATTGTTTTGTTTTGAATTCTTTTTGCAAGAATCAAATTTGGAAGATAACGTAATTTGGGTCAATCTTGCCCTTCTTTTGGTTTGAGCTCTGCTTTGTTTGAATCGTCATTTGCCCTGAATTTGGGTCTTTGGCTTTTCCTTTGTTGGGTTTATGGAATTTCAGTTTCAAACCAAAAATAACTATTAAAAAGAAAAAAGTCGTTTACCCCTTAAAAATTACAAATATTTGTGATCCAGAAACTAAAAATCTCTGTATATTGTAATATTTTCATCATTATGTTATAAAAAAGCTCTGATATAAAAAGCAATTTATGCCCCACTTGTAAAAAAGCTCTGCTAACGTGACTTTTAACTTTTCATTTTGGTCGTCGCAATACAAGATTAATATCATAACTACTACTACTAATCCCCTTTGTCTCATCTCTCCAAACCAAGCTATCATTCAAGCTTCAAAGGAATTGTGTTTTTTTTCTTCTCATTTTTATATGATAAATAAATAGTATTTTGTAACGCCTATTTCTTTCTTATTTTCCATATGAAATGAAAGAGAAGGCCACAGCAGATTCGTGTCCTAGACTCTAGTGTGTAAGCAAGAAACTCCCCTTTCTCCCTCCCTCTCTCCGACTCTCTCTCTCCAATATATCCATTTCAATCAATTCCAAAGCCAGCAGTTCATTTGCCGTCGAAGAACCAAAGCTCAAGCATTAATTCCTCATCACTAAATTAAGAAACCCATTGATTTTTAACACTTTCCTGATATGAATTTGATCACTCGATAGAAAAACTTTCCTTCATCAAAACCTACTTCCATGAAAATCATAAACAATCCTACCCTTTCCTTTATATCCATCTTTGCTCTTTCAGTACTTCTCGCAAACACGTCCCATGCATCAACCCCCTCCCCCTGCAACCGGTCGTGCCCAGGCGTCGGGACCGACCCGATCCAATACCCATTCGGATTCTCACCCGGCTGCGAAATCCGCCTCAAGTGCACCCCACACACCGGAATCTTCATCGGCGAATTCCCCATCCAAATCATAACCCCAGACAGCATAAGAGTCACCCTCCAGAGCCGATGCAATCGTCCCTTGCACACCCTCAGCCAGCTCTACGGCCCCAGATACGCCCCAACGTCCAGAAACGCCATCCTCCTACAGAACTGTACCGACGGGCAACCCTCGAGCAGCTGTGAGATACCCAACATTCTGGTCAAGGCCCGGTTCGACGCGCCGCCCAATTGCAGCTCCAACAGCAGTCTCAGCTGCTACGCGGAGACCGGAAAGGATGTCCGGTTTTTGGATTTTGAGAGCGTCAAGCACAGGGATTGCAAGTTCTTGTTGTCGTCGATATCGGCGTCGCCGCCGCAGCTGTTGAATAGCTCTGCGGCGCCACCGCTGTTTTTGGAGGTTGAGGTGGTGGAGTTGGGGTGGTGGCTTGAAGGAACTTGCGGGTGTCATAAGAACGCCAATTGTACCACTGTTGTGTCGCCCAATGGGACCCAAGGATTTACGTGCAAGTGTAATAATGGGCTTCTTGGAGATGGATATGTGGCTGGCTCCGGTTGCTGGAAAGGTAATTATCAATTACTTCTTCTTTAATTACAGCCTAATTAACTCTTAATTCTTCTTCTTCTTCCTTATTTGAGAATGTGTTCTTTCTTTTAACTCAATCATGGTGGATATGGCCAACCAAGAACAAACCAGAAGGATACAAATAAAAAAGAGAAACCATCCAATGCATGCTTAGGGTCCCACCTAGTATTCTTTGCCTCACATTTTTTTCGCTATTATTAATCAATGTGAATGTGTTATAGTATAAGTGAATTGATAACATCACATCTAAAATTTACTGGTATTAAAGACAAGCATAAACAATAATTTGTTTTCCCTTTTGTCTGTATTATTTTGGATTGGACAATAATTTCTTTGCTTAGCAGTTAGCAGCCATATTAGAATGCATAATATTAAGTTGTTATTGTTAAGATTGTAATTAACACACCAAATTAACATTTAACGAACTGGGCCCGAACGTAGGGCCCAGAAAAACTGCGCTTGTGATCCTTAACATCATGCCTACTCAAGTTGTTGTGGGGCCGGTCCATCATTGTGGAGGTCAACTTAATCCAATCAATGAGCCCGAAGAAAGCGAGCAGTCAAGTTTTTCTTTTATCAAGGAGGAGCTTTTCCTTTTTCTCTTTTTTAATTTTTGTCTCTTTATAAGAAAACAAAGGGATAAGAATCCTCCATCAAAGATGGGTTGTTTTACCTAATGCAATCAAGTTAGATGAACTTTAACCATATTTTATTCATTGCGTATGCAATTTTAATTGTTCAACTATATGTTTAAGAAATGCAATTAACTTAATTAGTATGAAATTAAATAAAATCCTCATTGGGCCACGAAGGCCTCTATCCCAGAGTCCATATAGACACACCTGCTGCTCCTTCCTTGTCACAGACACCAATGAATTTCATTTTGGTTTGACAAAGGTCGAGGTTGTCAACTTTCTAAAATGGTGGTCACCAAATCATGGAAGATTGAGGTCAAATATATTTTTGTCAAACTTGAAGAAAACGTAGGTTGTCTCGAGTTAGACGGCACGTAGTTTGATTTAAACCAGATATGATCTCTTATTGATTAGTCAATCAATGAAATTTCTCTCAATTGGTCAGCACTTATACTCCATAAGAAAAGTTTTTTTTTTTTTTTTTTTTTTTCAAAGAGG